AGTTGGACATATTATTCCCAACATAGGATTGTGACCTAGAGAATATTGCTTTAACACAATCGGTGGATCACAAATCTCCGTAAGTTATGAGAGTAACATCTCTCCGTCTCTCTGGTGACATTGAGAAGGAACTAAAAGTGTGTTGCCGTGCCGTGTTGCGCAAATAGACATGCTCCATCTCAGAGTGATGAAGCCTTCCAAATGATCCTGCGAGACAGATGAGTGCTACTTGAATGTTAATGAGGCCCCCTTTAGACACGCATAAATTAAACGATTAGACGTCTGCAATCATGCGAGGTCCTTAGGTGTCCCCAATTTATGGCGTTTTGTAACGTGGCCGCCTTTATTTACGGCGCGGGATTCGCCACCTGAGCGGGCGATCGCCTCCAAAAGGCGTTTTTTTTATTTTTTTAATGACCCTCCAAATCACTCTGGCAGAATGGCCAGAGGAGTGGGGCCCTCTTGTTTTGCAGAAAACAAAAAGGAACGTTGTGCCATCGGCTGAGAAAGCTTGCAGATGTGCAGAGTAGAAGGTAAGGATGCAGTAGAGAAGGGCCTCAGAGGACAGAACTGTCCCCAAACGCAGTCACCTAGCAATGCGTCCTCCATATTCTTGGTCCATAGACTCGTCCTTTTCCCTTTTCTTATCGCAACAACAGCTATTTTCATCTTCATGATTGCATTAATTACAACATAACGCACGTCTCTTGGCTCCAGTGGCGTTTTCCCTATAGAAAACAGCACGTCAAGGCTTCAACAAAAGGAAGGAAACAGTGCATATACTCACTTGACACTTCATTAATCAACATAAAAATGATTCTCTTTTTTTTTTTTTTAAACAGCCTTGCCTGACATTATCTTAGCAGTCTAGCGTCGGAGTTTCATTGTATTCTCTTTAAAGGATTCCAATTTCATTCACATATCAGTGTTTTACGGAGTTTTTCCGCATTACGACCACTACTAATTATGGAGGAAATTTAGAAACATATATGCAAAAGGCTCGCAGATATAAAGCATCAAGATTGACAGGCAGTAAGGGACTGTTTTTTATTGAAATACCAGGTGCAATTTAAAGGCTTCTCAAGGGTTTCTTTATGCACACAACCAGCAGTTAAGTCCGGGTCCTATCTCAAGCCAAAGCGAGGGGCTTTGTGTGTTTCTGTTCTAAGAGAACAAGAGGGATGAGTAGAGAAATTTCTCTTAAGATTCTTGCTTTTTTTCACCCTCTCTATTTATTAGGATAATGAATTTCCGACTGCAGTGCCAGTTCCACTGAGCCTGCTTCTCGGCCTAATTCTCTGTAACATTTCCTCATCGCCGCTGGGGAACATTATATGAAGGCAGGGCTTACAATACCATCAATATGCCCAAGACGACAATCGGACGTCTCATAGATATTAATGGAGGCGCAAATTAAATCAAAGTTGGAGTGCAGCTATCGGGGGCTATGATCAATGCCTTTTGCACATTCAGATTTAATATGGGGTTCGTAATTTGAGTATCCAAACAAAATGTGCATCTTAATGGGAAAGATGAAAGTAATCCCACATGGGGAGGAAATAATACATTAGCTGAATTGTAATTAGAGAACTCGGAGTGCAATGTTTCCCCAGCTCTGCATTAATGTTGAATAAAGGCCTGATGTATTTACGATGAGCAGACGAGACATGGACATTTGAACAGTTTTTCGGACACCTAAAGAAAATAATCGAATGAACACATAAGCATCAACTCAAACACAACAGGGATATATGAAATGAAATATTACAGAGAATACAATGATACAGTGCTCCACCTGTCTTGTTTCCTTAAAAGTATCAGGAACACATGCACATTGCAAGTCATAGCAAATAATACGAGAAAAACATATCGGATATATTTTCATTTGATTATGAAATATTTGATCTGGACAAATCCAGCATTTGAAGCCAAGCGCTTGCAAAAGCAAACGGAACACAATTTTGGTAAAAGGCTCCCAATAAATCCTGATCATGTAAATCAGCCCTCAAGCATTCAAATGAAATAAGATGTAATATTGCCTCACACTTTTACTTAGTAGCTGCCAGCTGAAGTGACCCCGTGTGAAGTGTGCAGGTAACGCGCAAACAGCAAAACAGATTCCCAATGAATAACACATGAGCTAACAAACGCCGGTAGCCCTAACACACGTCACACGAGATGACAAAGGGCTATCAAACTTGATGCAATAGCATTGATGACTGTTAGAGCATTTCTGCTTACACATCCAGGTCTTTAAACCAAACACTATTTGAGGACGGGGGATTGTTTTACTAAGGTTTGTATGTTGACCACGTAGACCTAACTAAAGACTAACTGATCTGACTAAAGACTGCTAACTACCCAGCTGTATTTCAAGACTCGATGCCCGGTTGTACTTTAAAAACCACATACTGTAGGATCAAATATGTGTCTTTCTAGGTTTAGGTATGAGGATTTAGTTATCCAAACCTGTAAAGTTAACCTAGCCAGACTTGAGAGTGTGTTGAGACTTCTTCAGCTTTACACTAATTTTGAATTTTTGTTTCAAGAAATTATTATTACAAGCATTTCCAATAAGTTTGTGATTACTTTTGAGAAGTTAGATCCTATGACAATGAACCTGTTAAAGAAAAATACCCATACGCATACTCAAAGCATATACAGCCACATTTTTCCATAAACTAAACACAGAATACACATTCCACATCAAATATTATAATCAACTGTAGAAAATTATATTCTGAATTTCCTTTGGAGGTCTAGGACATGTCATTTGGAGAAATTAATTTGACTTTCTTGATCAGAGTTTTATTTTTTTGTTAGATGGTTCACAAAAAAAGTTTTGAAATGACTCTTTCAACTAAAGAGTAATGCGTCCTTTAAAAACTGGAAGCAGTGTTAGGTGTTAACCTGAATCCGGAGACAAAATAACTTGAGATATTTGTTTGCGACGATGCGATCATGTTTTGTTTATCATCACATGCAGTAATTAGTCAAATTGAATTGTTTTGGGTCATTAATTTTGAAGATCACATAGCATTTCTTGCCCTTATTAGAAGATAAATGTTGACATTTTCTTTTTGCTATTGCGCAGTCCCGCCCCCAATGATAGCATCAGCCGGTGCAACTCAATTTATAAAAGGGGGTAGCATTTCATCTTTGAACACTTTACTGAGTGGGTATGTAACAGGATGCAATAATCCATCAATAAAAGCGTATTGATATTGTCAAATGTTAATGTCATTCGTAAACCCTCGGGTCCTCCTGTCACTTGGACATTGGTCACATACGGCCTTGTGATGGCGTCCAGGATCGACCCAGGTCTCCCTCTGAACGGCCGCCACTGTAAAATGTTTCACGCCGTGACAGAGCAGAGCATTAATCAAAGTTGAGCTGAAGTGTGAGGGCACAAGTGCTTTTTTTTTTTTTTTCCCACCGTGGAACTGTTTAGCACAACAGCGCTTGGTACAACCGGGTTGCACTCTTCAGTGTAATGGCAGCAAAAGGAGGTGATAAATAATGGATTCCAGATCACTTACACCTCATGAAGCAGGGCTATTGCATTCAAGAGATTGTGTTTTTGCCACTCGAATTATGGATTTGCCTCTCTTGGCGGCGGCGGTAAAGGAAAACAGGACCTCTCCAGTGGGGCTGTGAAAGAGGTTAATGTGGTGCAAAACATGACGGCAAAACAACAGTTTAGACACCTCCACTAAATGATGACAGTGAATTGCTGGGAAAAAGAACTGAGGGTGAAAAATGAGTGTCACAAGTTTGTGAAGCTTTTTTTTTCACTTTGACGGAAGGCAACAAACATGAGCCTTAAAGTTTTTCTTACCGTGAAAAAAAAAACAGAGGTCCGTAATTGAAAACTTGTCTGTAAAGAGTTGACGTGCCACTTTGAGTAGAGATTTGATCTTTCAAACCATAATGTTTAAATTAAAATTCACCGGCTCTTAACTTTTAACAGCTATTCAAACTGCAGCTAAAACTATGGAGCTAGACAAATTACAATTTTAATGCATTTGAAATGTAACTGTCCACTATCAAAGCACATTTAATTGAAAATACATTAGTATTTATTCATTCTCCTCTTTGAATCTTATTATGAGCTGTTTGCTCACTAGAATTGGAGAGGTTTTTCTTATAGCAATATCCCCACACATATGACAGCTGATAGCCATTACTTTTAGACGACAGAAAAAAATGATGCGATAACCTTTCTGTAGCTTTGTGTTTTCTTCTGCAGGTAGCATGACTGCCTACTGCCCCTCAGTGGAAAGACAGAGAAATGGCCTCCTGGTAAGACACTTGCCCTCCTTGTGAGCAAATTCTGCAAAGTCTCATATCCACACCACGCCAAAGTTTGATATTTTGACCAAATCATAAACGGATAAGAATCGTAATAATTGCCAGTGTGGCAGTTTAGCCTTAGATACACTGCACAGAGCAGAGATGATCAGATCTCACTCCATATCTTAATGGGATCCTCTCACACAGCCATTCCCATTAATGACCAATCCCCCCAATTATGTAAATCAGAAAAAAGCGGTCACTAACCGGCGAGAAACTTGAAGTTGCTCACATAAACACCAACAGTGTCACATTGCAAAGAGCGCTAATTGGCCGCTACTTTTCGCATAATTGCAGCAACCGGGGTCACGTCCTCATCCAGCCTGTCCTTTAAGTAGTGTTTTTCGGCACACAAACGGTTAATGGAGCAATTAAGAGGGTGCTCACGAGCACCACTTGCAGGAACCATTTGGCAAGGAAGAGCCGGGGAGAGGCGGACGGGGATGCTGCGATCCTACACAATGCATGGGTCTTGAGCCAAAGGGAATGTTGCTGTGAAGGTGCAAGCTGGCACTGAAACTCATTTTGTCGGACACAAAAAAAGAGCGGTTACCACATAAAACAATCGTGCTGAGAACCCATCCCACAACACTACCTTCTAGAGCTAAAAAATATTGTATATTTTAAGAAAAGAACATTTTAAAAGATGCAGCAAACACCGTGACATTTATTGTAAAGTTATTTCAGTGTATCATAGTACAAATACTAGTCTTTTTCTTACAACTCATCTCTGCTGGCAACACTTGCAAATACAATATAGCTGCAACCAACAAAATATAAAATCTGTTTCTTAAGGACATTTATAAGCATGTACAGGCACGATTTGAAAGCTACAGTTTCTTCTGGCTGCTCTTAACTTCTCAGACCTGGTTCCAACATGTGTAAAAAAAAAAGACCTGGAGCTGTTGAAATATCAATTCTAAAAAAAAAAGCTGAGTTGTAACAGTTTCAAAGTGGTAGGATTTACAACCTTCGCGGGATGTGCAACTGACAAAGTAATAATCGATTGCTCATCGCACCATTAAAGATTTCAAATGACGCTTCGGCGAACATGTCTAGAGCAGATAATGTGAATGCTACTTATCTCTAAGGTGGCTCACTCGAAAGTGAAGAGGGAGAGAAGTTTTCAGCTGTCCGTCTGCGGCAATCTACCACAGACTTTGCCCACCCTCTATGACTAAGTTATGCCCTGTCATGTAGTCGGAGGCGTCAGATGCCAAGTAGACCACTGCAGCTTGCAGGTCTGTCACTTGAGCCAGTCTACCAGCGGGGATATCTGACAGCCAGCGCTGCACCAGAGGCCTCAGATCCTCCGAGTGGATGAGAGGGGTGTCAACAATCCCCCTGAAAAGAGAGACAGAGAGAGAGGGAAGAGAAGAAAAAAAACAGCACAGTGAAATCAGAAGGCATCACAGCACAGAGCCAGGAGTGACAGCACTGTTTCAGAGCCACCACTTTGGTGACAAAAATAAAACCAATTATCCTTTGAAGAAAAGGGGCATGGCGTGGCGTCTCCGGTGATATTTACAGTGGGCCTGGTGGCTCTTAAATGACTGGCACGTCTCAGGAAAAAAGCCCACAGGTATGACGGGACGTCTGGCTTAATTTGCTCGCAGCCTTTGGTTAATGACTTCTTATATTCATCTCCTTCACATTCGCTGCTGTGTGTGTTTGAACTACTCTGGTTTTCTGGTAAATTCCGCCTAAATACTGTCACGGCATCAGTCTGTTGCTTTTTGGCGTCAAATCGCTCTTCATTATGTCACGACAAAATGTTGTTCTCTCCACTCTCTACACGCATTACATTTGGATAAATATGTCAACATGCCTAATATGAGACGGTTTCTGACTCTTAACGTAATCAGTGTGATGGTGACTAAGAGCCATAGAAGCCTGAATTATTTGTACAATACATACCGGTGCCTTGATATGGAATTCTAACATTTAACCAAATTACCACTTCCAAGGAGCGTGTGTGTGACACCTTGGTTAACATATTCCACCTCAATTATATTTCTCTTCAGCTGCCCTGTTATCTGGAACCTTTCCTGGCAATCAGAGGTGCTGTTTTCCCTCAGCCAATTTTCCAGATAATGCAGCTTATCACCGCTGCGGCTAAAGTTGCCAACGGAATCAGGCTCCAGTCAACCTCGCGCGTGCTAATTGTGTCCCTTTTTTATGCATATTTACTGACTGTCACTTCAAAGAAATCAGCGGCCCATTGAGACCCCCTGTTAGCGAGGAGGGAGGGGGTGGGGGGAGAGAGAGAGAGAGAGAGAGGGAATTGCTTCTTGGCAAATTAAAATTAGCAAACAAGCTACAGATAAATAAAGCCGAGCGTGGCGTTCGTGTGAGGGCTTTGTTATGGGGCTGTGACTGGGCCCCGTTCGCCCACTGCCACCGGGTGGACCCCCCCCACTCCTCCTCCCTCCCTCTATCCATCCATCCATCCAACAGATACGCTCAAAGCCCTTCCTGTGTTCCCCTCTTTTCTTCTCCGCGCTGAGCTCCGCAGACAAACAGATACAAACAAAAGCGCTACTGTTGCGTCGACACTTGGCGTGAGGTTGCAAATTTGATTCCCTAATTGAACAGAACAATTAGAGCAAGTGTTTGGTTTGATTCATCCCTCAAGACGTCAACTAATTAAGCTCTGATGCATTGTTTGAGGACTTAAATTAGGTCAATCATTCTCAAATGAGGCTCTTCGCATGAAAGCAAAAATGAAAAAAATAAATAGTAGCTCTTCTCCTCCCTGAGTTCCTTCCGAAAATAGAAAAGCGGACAGGTGTGACAGAGACGACACTCACGGTGAGATGCAGTTGACACGGACTCCTCTGTCAATCCATTCAGTGCCCAGGGTTTGGGTCAGTTTGACCACTCCGGCCTTGGACGTGTTGTAGGAGAGCTGCTTCTGAGGATGGGGGACTTCAGGATAGAAGAAAAAAAAAAAAGAAAAAAAGACGAAGGAGGGAATTAAAAGTCAGTGCACCATCAGTAATGGCTTTCATAAATTCTTTTAAAAAATACTTTTTTCAAGCAATATAAGTCAACTAAATAACAAAATAAACAGTCATTCATATTTTAACCAATAAGGCTATTATAAAAGAAACCATCTGATGCAATTATAAACTTAGAATCCCTGCAACACATGACATATTACACTAATCATTTAAAACCGAACTAAAATGATGATGGATGGAAAATGTCCATTTTTACCTTCAAAACTATTCTAAGGGACAATAGGCAGCTTGGTGCTGCTGTTTAAATTGATCATCAGCAACTGTGAGCTCCTATAAAACTGGAAAAAATAACAAACCAAGAGCTACATCTCAGACTTTACGGGCCTCAGTTAGCAGGTTAATGTTAAAGCTCATGACGGTGCATTTGGAAGAAGACTGAACACGTGATGTGTTCGGAAGGGAAAAGAAGAACATGGCAGCACGGCGTGGGTTTGTAACGTTACATCGTAAGTCAGATATGACAGACCCAAACCAGGTCACGCAACAGAGGAAATTCAGCACCGGATCTCAACAACAGCTGGCAAAGAATCAAGGAGCAAAGATCCGGCCTCAACCTGATGGAAATCCTGCGGCAGGACCTTAAGAGAGCCTGGCATAACAAACACCCACAACGTCAAAATGACTTACTTCACGTTCCTGCTGCTGAAGGTGGGTCTACATTCTACTGATTCATAGAGCACACTAATTTTTTCACACACCGATTCTGCATTTTGGCCTCATTTTTGTCCAATGACAATTAACTGGTGGGATATGAGATTCATTGATAGGGTTAGTGTTAGCCGTTTTTGTTTGTTTGTTTTATTAAATTATGATTACTGTTATATAAAGCATGTAAACTTAAAAATAGGATGTGTTTAATTTTCCCATGCCAGTATGCTTAACATTCCAGCAAATGCATGTTTCTTGTGGATCCTGCATAAAATCTATTCAAGGGGTCGCTGCGGGGGACTCCGCGGATGAAGTCATGTAAAATTAATTGCTTATAATGTCCAGTTATGCTCTGTCCTCAGAAACAAAAGCAGGGAGCCATTTGTTTGCCGTGACCATCACAGATGCTGCACGCTGCATGAGACGGCGGGACAGGGGCTCATTTTCTGCTGGTTGATTAATCATCGCGAGGAGGGCTCCAAGTTACATACAACTTTAGTAGTTAACCTCGTCACCTGCCGATCCGACGGCCAAATGGCTTCAGTGTGAGACCGGGATGATGAATACTGGCCAGCTGTGGAGAGGCAGGAGAAACGGTCCTGGGGAGAAGAAAGGCCGGAGCATCCGGCGAAATGTGCGGAACAGAGGAAAAAGTTGAGAAGCGATGAAGAAATAAGAGAGGAATGAGCAGAATGAGATAGCAGGAGATTGTAAGGCTGGGTAGGGCCGGGCTGGATAAGGCTAGGCTAGGACCTCAGAGAAGCAGCCGAGGAGGAGCAGAGCCCGGGGCTTACGAGCAGATTGAAGGTGAAATCCGACTTATCGGGACAGGAAACACAGCTCAAATTGCCTAACAGCACTAATCCTCGCTCAAGACCTGATGATACGGCCCCAAAATACCATTCAGAAGATGCCTTCATCCTTTAAATAAACCCGCATTGATGTTTTTGCCGTCTTAAAGAGAAGTAATCCCCAGAGAAGGGAAAGAGGAGGCAAAAGAAACGCATTCTCCAAAGCCCTCTTTAACATTCACCCCGCTACTTATTGCCCACTTCAAGTGGGGGAAAACATGCTTGTTATCGGGCACGCCTTTACATTCGGATTCCTCGGAGCAGATAAGGAGTTCAAATGATGCACTCTTCTACCTGATCGCTGCTGCCCGCTCTAATGTATATTACTAAGCACCAAAGATGTGCCGGCATGAGTGGGTGAGTCACAAATCCCCCGGCGAGGTCAGCACCCGACCGACGAAAAAAAAAAAAAAAGTTTAACATTTCCTGGCTGTGAGCTGCTGGTTGTCATTCAGAAAAAAAAGGAGAAAAAAAAGAAAAAAGAGCGGTTTATGTTCAAGAGAGTGTCGGTACAGGAGCTTTTAGCGCAGCAGATGGACAAAAAGCTGTCATTGCGAATAGTAATTGGACATTTACAGCTACTTTTTTTGGGGGGGGGCCTCCACTTGGCGAGAACAGGTCCCATCTGATTACACATTATGACAATATCATAACAGATGTCCAGAGTGATAAAGCAAATTCCTGCAGGACTCCACGTAATGCGAGTAATTGATCATTTCTTTTATGTGGGCCTCTATTTACCAGCGTGCTCCTGTTTTACAGATTGCCCCTTGCAGTTGGGAGCGGGGCCCATATGGCACGCCGTTTTACTGGCTATTTGGCTATACTGCTGATGAAGTGTTGCCGGGCCTCTGGAGGAACCTGTTGGAGGAGGAACACCACACCGGAGAGGCGAATTACAAGGCTTTTTACTAGGCTCTCAGTAAACTAAAGTGTCTTCCGCTGTTCAAACAAGGCCGCTGGCACAGGTTGGCCTTTTTTCTTTTTTTTTTTGCACAGGAACCCTCCCCTCCCATTTTGGACCTCAGGTTCCCTTCCACATCCTCCGCAGAGCTCCCAGAGAGGGGATGTTTATTATGATGCAAAAGTGCCTCGCCGAGACGCAATCACAACACTTTGGATTTCCTGCTGTGCTTTCTGCAGATGCGTCTCTGCAGAAGGGGCCCGACAGAAAAGACACCTAATCCCATTTTCAAATACGGGGGTTCACTTTCGGCGTCTCGCGAATGGGGAAAAACAGCAAGAAATACTTTGTGCCTGATGATGAAAACTGTCTAATGTGACATGTGCTGCCTCACATAGCTGTACAGCACAAATGTATTTAACTCCCCCTCCTCCCTACCCAATGCCGTACGCCAAATGGAGAGATTAAAAGCGGACATGGAGGGGCTCCAGAGAGAGAGACGGAGTAGGGAATGGAATCATCACTCACCTATTAGACTGGCCATAGAGGCTGTGTTGATAATCTTTCCGTAGCCTTGCTTTAACATCACTCGACCTGCTGCCTAAGGCGAGGATTCGGGGTGGGAAAAGAGACATGTTAAACATCGGACTTTTGAGGTGCCGAGATATGCAACAGCACAACAAATCGACGTGAAGCCACGTGGTCCATCGCAGGATCTCACATAAATGGGCTTGAGGATTTTCACGTCGCACATTTAGATGTCAGACATCACGGCACTAAATTTAGACAGGGTGGAGGGGGCTCGTGGTTAATTAGGTCATTATCTTATGGGTTTTGACAGAAACGGAGCACAAAACGAATAAGTGATCAAGACTCAGCTCGGTTGGGCGTTCGCGATTTCTTTTTTCTCTTTTTTTTCCTCCCATTCAGCCGGAGAACTCAGCACTGTGTGTTTTTCTGTTTGTTTTATGCACTGAAACAAACACAATGTCGCCTTCCAGCTTCTGCGTGTGTGTATCTGATTGAATGTCCCATTCAATCAGATTCTAATGTATTTAAATGAATTAGTTCATAACTGGATTGAACTTCACCTGTTTGTTTTCCGTTTAAAGCGACTTCAGATGTCGCATGTTGCGAACTGGCTCCATATAAACACTGAGTTGAATCAAATTTAACATATAACTGCTGCACAGCATGTCAACCTTGTCTATGGCAAATTACCGGCTGTAGTTCACTTATTGAGCAAGCTTGGAAGGGTATGGAGAATGCATAATATTTTTTAATTTGGACCACACTACATGTGGTCCAAAAGTTACTGGAAATATCACAGTGATTGCAGAAAAATGTCCTTCAATTTCTTCCCAGTTTTTAATCACCTGACAGGCTTTATAATCTATTCTTTTTTTTTCTATGGCTGTCTCTTCCCACGTGCAAATAAGTCACGATATTTGATAAAGAATCAATTATTAATCGAACTGACTGAGGAAGCTAGTTTAGATGTCATCTGGTTGGTGTTAAGATGACACTTCTTGAAATATCTTATGCCTCCTACTGCCAGGCTCTTAAATGCTGATGGCAGCAAACATCCTAAGTGAGCCCTGAGCATTTCGACTGAAGTTTAAATTCAAATTTCTTATTCCAGGCAATGTTGCTCGGTTATGAGGTTAAATGTATTCAGTGTCTGATTCATTTTTGTCTTTAACATGTGACTAACTGTGAGCTTTGAAGAGTGTGTGGACCATGGCTGCTGAATGCCATTTTAGATAACTATATCATCAGACAATAGTTCTGAGAGTCATTGTTGAGTTTGTGGAGCTACAGAAAACCCCTAAACACATAAAATATTGACATAAAACATGCCACATATGAGAAAAGGAATATCCTTAAACTGATTTTTTCCCCTCCCTTGTGTGACCCATATCAATACACCTAAATGTATTGTTTTAATAGGCTCCCAACTTAAAAAAAAATATCCTCATTTAATTGATTCCATCTCTGTTCGATTACATTATTATTGACAAAAGAGCATCCAATCAATGCATGGCTTCTGTCAGTTTTCTCTGAATCCCTAAAGCCAAAAACCTACAAATCCAGAGGAGTCGTGCAGTTATTTGAATGTGTGAATGAGTTATTCATCCCCACCCCTTCCACACATCACACATCCCTTCAGTGCATCACACACACACCTGACAGCACATGAAGGTCCCCCTCAGGTTCACACCAAAGGTTTGATCCCACTCCTCTAAACTGGTGTCTTCGCTCGCTGAATTCTTGTTGACGCCAGCATTGTTACAGGCGATGTGGATCGCTCCCCATTTGGAGACGACGGTGTCCACCATCCTCTGGACGTCGTCCGGCTTGCTGATGTCGGCCGAGACGGGAATAGCGTTGATACCTGTTCAGAAAAAAAGACCCCAGAGATAATGGTTAAACATTTTAGAAGAGGTCTGCAAAGGCCACAAAAGCAGAAAAATAAGACATCGACTCCCATTGGATGTGTCTAAATGCCGTTATGCTTTCCTTCTTTTATATGGGAGGGATGTTTAATTCTCTGAGAGAATAATAGATTAACACAAGTGCAGAGAAAACGCTTTTAACTCACATCTTCTCCTTTAGTATGCTGCCATCTGCTGGTGAAACACCACAAACAGCACAGCTTTATTTCCAGTGCAAAAGCTTGTCTTGAAAGAAAGCTTAAAATCCTACCAATAGTGTTTAAAGTACTGCACGCCAGCATTTTACTGAACGCACTGGCCAGTTGAACCAGTTTGAGTCCAACATGTCCCCCGTCTCTCTGACGTGACTGAGCCATTGACTGTAAGATGAACTGCGTCATTTCACAGTCGACACACAAAGATGCCAAAAATGTTCCCCCGTCGTCTTGACACTCCCTCTGACTTCTTTCACAACACGGCTTAGGGAGAGAGCGCAGGTTTAAGCTCTGCACTCTCCATCTGACCTGTTGCCACTGATTTTTTGCTTCTTGTATCACTTGGAATACTTAACCCTATCCTCCCTTTTGTCCTTAACTTGCCTTGGTTTCTTAGATTTTTAAAAGGACACACTGCTCACCATATGTCAACTTTTTGGGCCAATATTTCCTTATTGGCATGAAAGCTGCTTCATTTTTCAATACCGTGTTAGGGTTAGAAGGGTTAGAAAGTAGACAATGTCCAAAGAAAAACCTTGAAAGGCCTTCAGAAAAATCATTTTAAGTGATCATAGCCTGGTTGCATAAAAGAAGAAAATTTGTGAACTGACTTTTTCACAGCTCTAAATGTTTAAAACGTAAATGTCTTATGCATCTTATAGTCCAGAAAAAGGTTAAACATTTAGTTTTACAGATATTCCTGACAATAAGGCTTTTTTTTTTATTCCTGTTACCTATAATCAGGTACTATCTTATGAAAATATATACATTTTTTAATGTTAATTCAAAAAGAGGGCACACCGGCTCAGTCCAGTGGAGTTTATATATGTTTTTGCCTGTTCATGATGCTTATTTTGACTGATGTGACTTACAGTCTGCAGTTATTTATAGTTCAGATAATACAGTAATTGTTGTCGTTTTTTGGGGGGGGTTGTCGATTGGAAAAGGGAAAAGCCTAACACAATTTACCCTTTAGAAATAGCTCCTTTGCAACTGCCTCAGCTTTAGCTGGAACCAGGTCCACCACGGCCACCTTGGCGCCGGCCTCTCCCAGGGCGTGGGCGAACGCTCGGCCAATGCCTTGCCCGCCGCCCGTCACGTAGGCCACCTTCCCATCCAGCCGCATCCGATCCAGGACAGGTCGGCCTTTGACCCCGCGGAAAACCTCGTCGTCTGTTATTTCACACTAAAGAAAAAAACAAAACAAAAAAAAACACAAACAGTGGTCGTACAGAGTCAGTGGACGTGTGTGGAAACAATCACAGAGTCAGGTCAACAGTACCTGAGCGAGCGAGCGCTCGGAGGTCACTGACACCCGCCGAATTAGACTGATGCCATCCCTAAGAGGGACGATAACCTAGCAAACAGAGAGGGCAGAATTAGCATGGAAGGAGGAGCAAAAAAATCACACCACTCATTTTAAGGTTCAAAAGATCTGAGATATACCTGCTCCACTCGTGGATCGTCCGAGACAAATTGATTGAACTCTCGAAGCGCCAGTCCGTTGCTATCTGTGGTGTCTTTTAGATAAACCTTTCCTTTGAACAGTGAGTTGTCTATACATATGACCCCTTGTAATCTTAGCAAATTGTTGTCCATGATGAAGTTGTAGTAGTTAATGTAATTATTCTTGTCAGCGTCAATGAAAACCATGTCGAACTGCTCGCCGGCAGCGGCCAGTTCCTGAAAGGGACACAAGATCATTCGAAAATTGGCACGTGTCCCCCCAAAATGGTCAGCGTTAATCTTTGACTTGTCTGATTGTACAAAGTAACACACAGAGCAAACAGACGGCACAAAGGTGAAAGGATCAGCAGGGTCATCCTGTACCAGGTCACCTGACCTTTACAGAAAACGTGACAGATTTTCTCCAGGAATGAAATAACAATCAAATGTCTGAACTACTTTGTGGAACACTGTAAAATCATTCAAATCTACTTTATTTTAGGTAAGAGTTTTATTCTTTTTTTTTTTTTTTTCAATTTTGTGCATGTACTCTCTGGTGCAATAACCTTTTCTTAAATATCTATTAAAAAAAGCTTTATACATAACAGTCAGTTCTGATTTATTTTTTTATTTGATCCACAAAATTTGACCTTAATAAAGGTTGCCTTTGATTTTATCAGCTCATTTCTAGCTTATAAATAAAAAGCTGCCAGCGTATGTTTCAAACATTTATTCTGGCATTTCCCCAAGAAGGATCATTAAAAAAAAATGTTAACAATTTTTTTTCTAATCCAAAATCATTTGACATTTCTCTATGCCAAAAAAAGGCTGTAAGCTAAATTGTATTCTCTCGCTTCTAATTTGTCATATAGCCTTTAAAAAAAAATCAAAGACAGATCTGAAAACACTCCAGGTGCTTCCACAAGGTGGCGAGCAAGTTCTTCACTGCTAACTTAAAAGTTTTTTGGGGGATATATGGAATTTTGAATATATGACATAATTTTGATTATATTAGGGATGTAATACTTGTTTACTTCAAATTCCTCTTTGAAGTAAACAAGTTCTAAATAAAGTTCTAAATTTATATTACAATACAATATTACACCTCCTAATCAGTTTTCATTAAAAGGAAAGCAAACCACACCACAATATGCATGCAGATATGGTCGCCACTCATACTTTTTGACGCCGATAGATTGTGGGAACTTTCCTTTCTGGTAAATTGCACACAAAAAGAATGTGTCACTATTTACTACGATGACCTTTGGAAGCCTAAAGCACGACATCTGCCTGTCAAGAGCAAGAAAACAGAATATCTAAACCCTGGTTCTATTTTTAAGGACTCATCAGTGAGGTCTTCCTCAGCTATTGTCCATCACTTTGGTATATGGCTCCTGCCATGTATAAGATCCACAATAACATTTGAAAAATGGACGAGAAGCAAATCCTGTTCAACTGACAGTTCTATGTTGAGTTGTGTTGCTTTCTTTTGTACTTTCCCTATTTTTTTCACCATACCAGTGGTACCCACATTCCCACTGCACACTCAAGCATCATTTATTTTATTGACACTTAAAACTTATCCTCTAGTTCCATTTGAAAAGGAAACAAATGTAAACACCGTGTTTTCTGGGTTAAAGGATTTCACCAAGTCACACAAATGTAAAGTATTTGAGTGGACGTATATCATATGGCGGAGGGTGTAACTGTTGGATGTATGGAATGAAGCTGTTAGATGACACTGCTCTTCCCTCACCTTCAGGGTGTCCATGGCAGATCCGGTCTTGACGGTGATCTTCTTACCGTGCGGGGACTTGTCGAAAATGGGCTGCGCAAACTCTTTGAGGTACGGCTCTAGCTCGCAGGCCACTATGGAGCCGTCCTCGGGCAGCCCCTCTGCCATGGACAGGGCCCCGTAGCCCGTGAACATCCCGATCTCCAGCACCCTGCTGGCGTGACTCATGTGGACCAGCATCTTAAGGGTCTGACCTGCCACAGACAAACACAGGAACAGTGAGGAGACCTGCGGTGGGGGGGGGGGATAAATGCACAGGTGAATGGCGCACCCTCCACGTGCCCAGTGATGCACTCTTTGGGAAGCCGGAATTTCGTCTTGCCCTCCTCGTACACTCGATCCCAGTCGTGAGACATGGTTTTCCTACAATAAAGCACAGATGAAATTGTCAACACAACCGACCCCCACGCAGTGTGCATCTCACGATTAAAGAGACGTACTTATAAAGCTCTGCCAGGGGTTGGCTTTCTTGTGTGGTCATCTTCTCCAAATAGTCATCCAGTCCACTTGCCATGTCCAGAGCCTTCTGCAGGTGGATTTTCAGGTCCTCTGGTACGGAACCGCATGCTGCAGCTATGTCTTTGGCTTTTGTTAACAAGTCCACAAGGACTTCCACAGGAGTGTCAGGAACTGCGGGAATAACAGATACAGCTTGCTTACTACTAAGTACTAGATTTACTTATGCAATTCTGCAACATGCATGTATGTGTATGAGTGTAATACATGTAAGATAGTTTATTTAGTTCATTGCTGTTATATACTTGTCGATAATTTCAACTTCTAAAATGGGGTTTTCTCTAAAAAGAAAAAAAGCCACTTGTTCACACTTTTTTCGACACAAAGTTGGCACTGACTGAAAACATTGCAGCCAGGTTTCTTAATTACTGACGTGCACGAGACCCAAACGGTTTAATTAACTTAAATGCCGTAAAAGGTTGTCCGACACTGCGGCGACGTGTAAACAAAACCCCGACAAAAACTGGTCGCACTCTGAACCTGAGACAAGCACACCGTGCCTCCATTCTGCCGATATTTCCATATATCCCAAATAATAATACTAATAAATAATATTAGACAATCTTACCCTTATCGACCAACATGCTTGTCGTTTTTTGGGCGTGACGGATTCCGTAGCTGGCAACCAGGGTCGGCGTACGTGGGACTGTTGTAGGAGAGTTACGGTTATATCACACAACTGTGCAAACAGCTGTGAGGGAGAAGGAGGAGGAGGAGAGACGGTCCGCTTGCAAAACACGTGAAAACGACCATTATTCAACGTTCACGTGAACGCTCCGAGCGTGCTGTCGCGTATTTCCACACCTCCGAAAAGACAGGCAGGACTTATTATATAGCTTTGGTTTTGAAACGGTATTTTGACCCGAGGGGGTTGCCGTAATTTGAGTTCGCTGCTCGCGGTGACAAACGTTTGGCATTCATTGAGGGCTGTCGACTTTTTAACTTGGGAACCTGAGTGGCCTATGTAGGGATTTACTTAATTATAGGCCTAAAGAATGGCCTCAATCATAGAAAACTGACAGCAAAACGCCGCTTTATCAGCTAAGATGGAAGCAAAGTTAACCTATTTCAGCCTCAGAAGGGGAATGTTATGTAGTACTGAAGTTAATTTTTATCCTCCAAGCATGTTAAAATACTTGAATTTAAAAAAAGCTAAATAACCGGCATTACGTCTATTTTTTTTTAATGTAAATTACTGATTGGACGTGAGCAAAGAAAGCGTCACACATTTGTTGTCCCAAGGTTGCTACTGTAGTTTTAATAACCACCTACTGTAAAACTGGCTCTAAGGTTCACATAACTTGTATATAAGCTATGTGAACTTTCGGTCTTCAGGTTCTCAACAACTGTTTGCCCGGAGGCAGTTTACTTATCTCCTTGTCTGTCAAAAAGAAAAAGGAGAGAGCTTTTAACCCTTACACTTCATTAAAGAGGTTACTCAAAGTAGCTGGAAGAACCTTAAACTAAACAGGTTTAACACATTGTACAAACTCCTTTCAGCCGTTTATGGTGTGGAATCATCGCCTCTGCAGGGATTGTCCACCTTTCCATTTTAAAACCTAATGAGGATTGTTTTTTTTTTCCTGTTATGTTTGCCTGGGTGTGGTGATTAAACACCAAATGCTCCTGCAGCTGCATTGCAATGTCGGATTGGCCTGAAGTATAAAGCAAAAACCGACAAATTAAATTATTTTAAAAGACATACACATTTGGATTTTACAGAACAGATGTGAACAATTGTTCTTGCTTCTCTTTATCTAAGTCTATAAAAGCCGGATCATGCATCTCCTTGTTTAAGCCAACAATTTTAGTTTGCAGGCTCCAGCATTTAACAGCTTTTTTCCTAATCTCTGCTATCTGAAATGCGGTCTACATGAGAAACTGCACCCCCCCAGGTGGGTAGCAGACAAGTGAAACTGCTGGCTTAGCTAATCAACCTACCTTACGATACTGTGATTCTAAGATTTTGTGTTGTTTTGCGATTTTCAAACAGTATCTACATTGTACGGTGGTATTTGTGAAATCTCTGCTGCATGGTGTCGTTTGCAGAGAATTGGTAAGGTTAAGTAGCTGGTTTTCACCCTACAAAAGCCAGAAAACAAGAGAAACAAAGACCTTTTTTGGCTCTCCTTTCAACTCAGAAGCTGTGACGATGACAGCCTCAGTTGTGGCATATGTACAGCCTGTATAGTATGGATAATATGCAGGAACATTTGTTCTTAGTTGTCTAATTTGTGTGGTTTGCTTCATAAAGACAAAATCACTTCAGTTTTCCTTTAAACAAAATTGGGTTCTGTTAAATCAAAAGAAAGAAAAGCTTCCTCCACATTTTCTCTGAAAGATTAAATGTAGTCTTTTCTCTCCTGTTGTTGTTTAGAGCACCAAGACCACCATGTTTTACATTTTTTGTTTCATGTATTGAAAATGATGTGACCATGTGGATTTGCAGTTTATCCAGAATGCACCGGGTTAAGCCATTTGGGACAGTCTCCAGCAATGGATGGATGGATGAAATGGTTTTGTGATCTAATGTCATCATGTGGTCAATTAATTTTGAGAATGATACACAATATGGACCATGAGTATTTATTCAAAAAGTATGTAAGTATATGTGTTTATAGAAATATTACATTTCTGTTTAGTTTGCAGGAAACTGCCTTCATTATATTGATAGATTTAATCTGCTAAATTGCATGAAAGAACAAATACGGAGAATTACCTTTTGAAAGTATTTTCTTTTGCTCTCCAGTGCGAGTATAAACATGAAGTATTGACTGAGCAAAGTTGAGAACAAGTATGTGAGCTGGAGATTTAGTTGTTTGCTAAGACCTTTGTTCGTATACAAACTAAATAACCATCTAGCACTGTGTTATATATACTAAACTTAAGACATATTAATTGTGCAACAAGTCGAATGACACTGACGATGTAAAATGCAAAGCAGGCGTCTCCATACATGTCAGGACTATTATAGATTTTTCTAAGAAAAGATTTATTTGGAGGTATTGACAGTTTAAGAAGTCTTGGCTGAGGCTGGAATTTACCCTGAAGTTATTTGAGTTTCTGCACGGGGACGATGAGAAATTCATGGATTATTTAAACTTCTTAGAGCATACTGTGAAAGTGTAGGACTTCCTGGTAAATTCATTCATCAATTTAGACATAATTCGTTAATGTTTTGTTCCACAACTCTACAGCAGCTAACTAAAAATGACTATTAGCCGGATATCTTGCCTATAAGTGGCGATAAGTAGGGATAAACCGCAATAAATAGCAGGAGAAGCAGTCCATTCACTCAGCAATCAACATTAGTTTAATATATTAGTAGGAATATTCAGACAATTTCTTTAACAAGGTTCAATACATTCAGTGGGAAATAATTATTTTTAAATATTAACATATAACATTCAAACCTGGACTAAATGTGTCTGCTTTTGTGGCAGGATAGACCTGCTCTGGTATTAGCTTTCATGCTGGTTTTCAGGTTAGAAGTTATGAAAACACTTTAACCTCTGCACCCAGTGGAACCAGTTTTGGAAAGTGGCTTAGTAAACGTATAAGAAAAAAAAAGGTCAGGGTACTGGGTGACTTGCACTTGACTTTTTTTTTTGTTTGTTGGAGAATTTAATCTTTTTTTGTACACCCGAGGGTTTGTTTATATTTGTAATGCTATCAGGAATACAGTCAGCTACACAAAAAATAAATAAGGACTTAGGACAATAACTTTTTTTCAAAGATTGTTCTCATCAGTGCAAAAAAAAGAAGTCACATTTTCAGTCAGTGAAGCAGGTGTTATCTTACAATTACACAAAACACATGCTGTGGCACGTGATGGCAAATTAAAGAGAAATGCTCCTCCCTTATTTCAGTCGCATCTTCGCAATACTGCTCTCTATATAAAGCAACTTCAGAAAAGGTCTGTCGCCCAAAAGAAAATCTTCAGAATCCCCGCTCATATCTGTAGCTTCCAGACCTCAGAGCTAGTATGGGAAAGGTTCAACAGGTTGACTGCGAGTGCAAAGAAAAAAAGACAGAGTTCAGTTTAGTGCGGGTCAAAGGAACATGGAAGAGCAAACCGGGGAAGAAGATTAACAAGGACCCTGTTGACTGTGTCTCACCTGCCAAAATGTAAGTCTCACATATTGTCTTTTTTTTAATCCCTTCTCAGATTATTGATAGAGGCTTTGAATGTTGAGAAAAAAATAGTTTTCATGCAAATTTTAGACGTGTGCGTGTGTTTATTTAAATGCATTTATTTGTTCAGGAAAAATATGTTTGACTTTTTGCCTCTGACTCATCTTAGTGGATTGAAATGTAAAGAAAAATAACTGAAATTCCTTAAAGGTGTGTAGGCTACAACTGTGTGTGTTCAAAGTATGCTTTTTTTACTCTTTACTTTCAGTTATCCAACCGTTTCATAACTCAGACCGAAACAAATATGAACATATGCCAATAGCTTAATGAGCTGAAATGCGCACTTGATCCAAATATATGTTTCTTTATGGTTATGTGTGACTCATTTTGCCCAAATGCTGTCACTCATCACAGCTGGAAGCATGGGTGTGGGTTTTTCTTTGAGTCCTCGGCAGTGGTAACATAAATTATTACCCCTGGGAAAACTATGTAGCTATGTGACTTTTGAAATACCACTTGTAAGGCACATATCTATAAAGAGGGAAACATGAAAGTCAATGACAACAGGACATTTTAAAACTTAAACTCACAAGCATTCTGAAATTCAATTAGAGTTTTTACATAAAAAAAAAAGACTGAATTTTTTTTAGTCTTTATCCACCCCTATTGAAATTAATGTATGTACAATATACATAGATTCCAATAATTTGAGATATTTATTACTTTTTTTTGGTAACACAGCTTAGAACTGCAGCAGATTTTTAGATAGATAGAATATATCGACTTTTTTACAGGTGTATGTCAAGAAATCACACTGACCTGTGAGTTTTGGATGGTGTTTAGGAGTAATGGAAGCTACATCTCTACAGATTACCCAAAGCAAGAATATTACACATTAAGACTACAAGTTAACTGAAGCACCCATTTTAGGAGCAGAAATATAAGACCACTTAACAAATTTGTATGAAGAGAAAAATGTAAATGACTAAAATTAGCAAAAAGTTCTAAGGCTGGGCAGCTTTGTTATGAGAATGAGGCCAAAGTGGATCAATCAGAGGGTCGAGTGTTATCAGGCAGAGAGCATGTACACATGAAGAGCAGATGCTCTGCCAGTTTTTTTCTGAGGATATGTGTGTGGGTGTGTGTGGATGTCAGGGGTAATTGAGTTTAAATGTGAAGTAAATTGATAAACTCATCAATCACATATTTTGGAGTTTCATAAGACTCACTGGTAAAGAGACAAAGACGCCCCTGTCTGGTGAATGCGTTCTCCTGCGTCAAAATTTCCTACGAGGGAAAAAAAGAAAAGTAGCCACCTAAATTGGCAGGTAGTTTGTATAAAATCAACAATTGGTTTGTTCCAGAACTCTCTGACTTTACAGGAGGTGCGGTGACTCAGTGAAGTCAGCCACAGCTTATTTTGGATCTCTTTCTGGTATCTCTGTAAGAATAAAAAGAAAGTCCCAGTCAAGGAAGAATAAAAAGAAAAAATAGTAAATACTGACACAAGATATGTTTTCTGTGCATTTTTCTCTCAAATCAACTGTAGAACGGGGCCTCTAATCTAATTGGAATTGCGCCCATTATTGTTTTTACTGTTTAAACAAAGTCATGTTTTGACATTTTTTTCTCATGATTAAGGTTACCTTTGACATTCTATGCACTGGATGGAGAAACTGCTTTATAATTAATTACTAAGCTTCCTTAGCCTCATATCTGTTGTTAAAGGACGACACAATGCATACAGAAATTAGTATCAGATGGCATACTCTAGTCTAACCTGATATTTGAAAGTATCCTTCAGATTTGAAGTCTCTTTAAAAAAACAACAACTGTATCTTGTGTTGCAGATTTGAGAGCGTCACAGAGCATGGCACCTCTTGGACCGTGGTCAGCCCCATCACCTTTACTTACAAGGTAACCGAAACCCATGGTTTGCTGGATCCGGGCAACAGCACTCTGCTCGTGGGCCACATCACCGACTCACAGCAGCTAGAGGACATCAAAAAGTCAAACAAGCCAATCAGAAGGTTCATAGTCATCGACCAGGAAGTCTGCGATATTTACGGCTCCAAGCTCACCGAATACTTAGAGGCTAACAATGTGATGTACAAGATCTTGGCGCTTCCGACCACCGAGGAGAACAAATCCATGGAAACGGCCCTGAAGATCCTCGATGAGGTCAACAACTTTGGCCTGGACCGGCGCACCGAACCCATCATTGCCATCGGGGGGGGAGTGTGTCTTGACATAGTGGGCCTGGCCGCCTCGCTCTACAGGAGGCGCACCCCGTACATCAGGGTCCCAACCACACTTCTTTCTTACATCGACGCCAGCGTAGGGGCAAAGACAGGGGTCAACTTTGCCAACTGCAAGAACAAGCTGGGGGCCTACATCCCGCCTGTCGCTGCCTTACTCGACCTGTCATTTATACAAAGCGTTCCACGAAGACACATCTCCAACGGGCTGGCAGAGATGTTAAAGGTAGGATTGGATCCTTTTACCCTCAAGTTTGAAAGTTGATAGTCTGATAGAAGCCTGAAAATGAACTGACCAACTCTTAGAGATACTCAGCTATAACGTTTTTATATCTTCTCTCTCAATGTTTCAACAGCATTTTTTGGGGGGGTGTTTCTGCTTGTTTGTAGATGGCTTTGATGAAGCACAAGGGTCTCTTTGAGCTCCTGGAGGAACACGGCTGCATGCTGTTGGATACCAAATTTCAGGCTGACAACACTGTATACGGGCACAGCAGCCAAAAGGCCGCATCGCAGGCCACCCGCATAGCCATCACCACCATGCTGGAGGAGCTGGCCCCCAACCTCTGGGAGGACGATCTGAACAGACTAGTTGACTTTGGCCACCTTATAAGCCCAGCATTAGAGATGGTAGGTGCCCTGCCGCCACACATCTACGGTCTTATATGCTCATTCGATATCAAATAACCTGACTTTTGTATCACCCAAACAGAAAGTTCTTCCCTCTCTACTGCACGGCGAGGCAGTGAACATCGATATGTCCTACATGGTTTATGTTTCCCACGAGAGTGGTCTATTGACAGAAGAAGAGAAGAAGAGGATCATCAGCTGCATGGTGGGCCTGGAGCTCCCTGTCTGGCACGAGGAGTTTACCATGGAACTCATACAAAAATCCCTGCAGGACAGGCTGAAACATTCTGGGGGCCTGGTCAGAATGCCTCTACCCGTTGGTCTCGGCCAAGCCGGTAAGCCTCTAAAACAAATTGAAGAAGTTTCGATGCGGAGGACGATGCTTTTGTAGAATGAAGATGCCTGACGCCTTTTTTTCTTTTACTCTGCTTTCTTCCCCTGCAGAAATTTTTAACAGCACTTCATATGACGTGCTGTACCGAGCTCACGTCAAGTGGTGTGAAGAGCTGAGCGTTTCCTCCGACAGCACTTGCGATGCTTAACCTCGGCATTCTTCGTTCTACCACAAGCAATTTGAAAAGATATAGTTTATATGTTACAAAACTTTAGTTAGTAATAAGTGGTCTGGTGTTGCATGCGAACATGGGTTTGGAAACTTTAAGTAGTTTCGAATCGGAGAATAAATGTACAGTATTTTCACAAATATACTCGCTAAGGCCATAAGTGGGGCAGCTCTGTTAACGCTGGCAGTATTTCTACGCAATGGTTTAATATGAGAAACCTGTGTCTGACCAGGAGTCTGTCAGCTTTAGTTTCCACAATGATCTTTCTGTAAATGGTGGTCGAAATGGTATGGATGCTGGTTGTCTTTATTTCACAAGGTTACAAAACAGATTAAATAAAATGTTTTTTTTTTAGAAAATAGTTCAATTGTTGTTGAACCTGTTTTTAATCACCATGTAAGTGCTGCAACAGCAAACCAGTTATGTGACAAGTGGTTTGCTTGTTGCACACCTGTGGCTTCTGACTGTCAAATACAATAAAAATACTCCAATGAAGATTTTTGTTATACATCACAAAGTGTCTTTTTTTCTTTTTTTTAAATAATGGCTCTCATAAATGTTTTTCAATTGACATATACCTCTTTTTGTGTTCACAAATTAACACAATCATTTAAGACATTTGCGACACAGATGTCTGATTAAGACTTGATAACTGATCTTGTACAACTGGAATCACATAAATGTTGCGACCACAGTTTTAACATTTCTTGTTTGTGGCAGTTTGTAGCTTAACTACAGGAGTACCAATAAACAGCACTGACGGTGACTGTTGTGATGTCTTTTTTCTTTATTCAATAGTTATTAACATCCAAATGAAGAGTATCGGCACCATTGGAATCTGAGAAATGGTGAAAATGAAACAACTAGATCCTCATTATTCTATGAGGGATTCAAAGATGGGGTTTTCTCTACCAGTGAAAACCAAATCATATGGTGCAAATCATGCCATCCATCCATTTTCTACACCTGTTTATGCATGTAGCAGACACCTTCATCCAAAGAAATTTGCAAATAATATATACATGTTGGCTCCCCATTGGGGAATCAAGCCCCAGTCTCCGGTGTTAGGGTTAGGGTGTTAAGGGCTCAACGAGAACCGAACCCCTGTAGCGAAAAAAAACACAAGGCGGGCAGGTAAGGCAGTCTTTTGGAGGTGGCACGCCACCGTTTATTTTCCCAGACGTTGGGAAGGAAATTAACAGGCAAAACGCAGGAGGCCCGCAGGGTAGGAATGGCAGGACGCGGAGAACGTGGGAGCTGGAAGCCGTGGAAGGCGCGCTGGGGTAGTTCCTCGGAGAAAGGATCAGACAAAGACAGTTTATCACTGTACGCAGGGTCAAAGATACAAACCCAGAAAATCAGACTTAGTACTTGGCTCGAAGTTACCATACGGGTAGTACGTCAGAGCGAGGACTGAAGGTCTCAGCGTCCTTAAGAAGCCTCCCCAGATAACTGGCCACAAGTGTGCTGAATTGATGAGTTGTTAGGTGGACACACCTGTGGCTGGGTCCCTGGGGTAGGCCTCCTGGCTCTCTGCACCACAACAAGGGGACACTCACCTCTATACTAACCCCCATGCAAGTAAGACTGATTGTGGCGTTGGATACTATCTCAGCGGCCATAAGGAGGCAGGTAGGGTACACGCCGGATGGATTTCTTTTACATAATCATAACATTACCTGGTCTTAGTTTTTTTTATTTTATTTTAAATTTCTCATTATATCATCATGAATAACAGCTGAAGTGAATAAAATTATTATAAAACCCTAGGCCAACATCAATTTAATTTTGGACAGTCCAATACAAACTATCAGCCATGGGACCTGTTTGGCAGTAAGTTTGTATTGTATTGTGCGGTTTCAGTTCCACGTGCATTTCAATTTGTCGACACCCAGTATCATGCCCACCAAGTTAGAAAATCAATCCAGATTTTGTAATTGATCCACATAATGAAATTGCTCAAACTTTTAATCCTAAAAGCTTGAATAAAGGCAACTGGACTACCAGCTGTTCTTGAAATTGTCAAAAGACCTGAAAGACTGAGAATCTACATGAATATATGATTCATCTTTTAGTGTGTATCATCTATGCCACTGCATTAATAGATTAGATTATATAAAGATACAGAAATTAGTTTCTCACAAAAGTATGACACCTTTCTTGAGCTACATCCAAGAGCCACCAGTAAGTAAACTATGAAAAGCAGTTTTATCTTTAATCTAAAAGAACTCAACCCTCTAAAATTGGCTCGCAGCACCAGCAAGAGTGCCATCAATGATTTTTATATCCCGTCACTTCTGCATCTCACATTTGTTTGCTTTGCCTCTGCCCTATCAAAACACTTAGCAGTCAGTTCCAAACAGGCATGGCAGCACCAACCAGTGGGGGCATGGACACCGGTGGAGTTTGTTTAACCTGATGCAGAATATGCAGAATGATGTTTTCTTACATTTGCAAACTTTTTTCAGGTCAATTTTCTGAGAATAATGCTCTTCCACTGGAATCTCCTGAATCGTCTTTAGCTCCAGCAGAACCGTCTACAATCCTGAATCCACGTTCTGAAAGCTCTGAGCAAAGTTCATTTCAGGTAAGAACTATCTACAAAAATACTTAGAAATACATAATCTTTGTACTTTGTTCGGAGGCCACCGGTTTTAAAAATGAATTTTTCGGAGAACTGTTCAATTTCAGTGACTTCAATGTCATGCTCACAGTCCAAAGAAGAAATGAACAGCCATGGTCATGATAACATAACCTGTTACCGTACAGCACACATGGCATGATGACAAAGGCACATGTGGGGATATTGTGTACATACCAAATCAAATTGGGGTTGTTTTCTGTCCATTTGGGTTGCTTTGTCTCTTTTTCAGGGTCACTGTGCTTGTCATTGTGTTTGTTTTCATTTTTTGTTCTGTAAAATCCAGCAGGAAGGGTTATAAAAACTTCTTATTGAGAGACAGATGCTCTCTGAACCACATGGCCTGAGACAGGGCTCTGAAATAACTTCCTGTCATCACAATTCAATGCATTCTTTTAACATTATTTAATCTATTTCCTCTTGTAGAAGTTTGAAACAGACTTTCTGATAAAGTAGAAAAACGTGTGAGCCTTACAATGGCAAGTATGAGTTGTTTGAAAGCACATATGACATTTGTTAAGTACATTCCTGGACCCAAAACTGCTTTGCAGTGCCTCGGGGGTGAGCACCAGTGTTTTTCCATCCAGTATGAAAATTGTTTGGTGTTCAAACAGGAAAACAAACAAATGTATGTGTGACTTGCTGTCACTAAGTTACAACCAGTGAGCGCACATAATTCTTTGCTTTGCTCCGTCTGTTAATAGAATACTTTATTGATCCCACATTGGGGAAAAGAAAATAATTAAATAAAAAGAAAACTGTTTTTTTTCTGTCTTTGCATATTGTTCTTTATTCAGCCATGGTCAGAATTGTTGCACATTATCATTCTGCGTAGGGTATGAATCAGAAATAGTTCATGCAGAGGTTGATTTTTTATTATGGCATGAATTCTGGGTTTTTGGTTTTCTGTTTAGTTTTTTTTGTTTTTTGTCTTCTCTTTAATGACAATATTTAATTCTACCATTGACCACAGTCATAAAAAAAATGAAAGACAGCTTAATCACTGTCATATTTCAAATTGTCAGTGTCATGAAAAACCTTTCAGTGTACTGGGATTTCCTCCAGTTTGCCCTTAAGGACTTTGCTGACATAATAACGCATGTGGTTATTTCTTCCATTGATTTGCTTTGAAGTTACCAGTTTTTACACGTTATTCACATCATACAGTTGTGTGTTAACCAGTCCCTGCCAAAAATGAAGCCATTTGAGGTTTTATAATCAAGACAAATTGAGCTGTATTTTTTTCTGCTTACATGGGTGTGTCCACTGAAGACACTGAGAGACAGATCTTATATCAGCTCGAATAAAGACAGGTTTGTTTGACTAAGCCACGTGTGAAATGATAAACACATACTGCATAGGTTAAACGGTTTGGTCACTGTCCAACTTTCGAAACATAGTTTATTCTCAGAATTTGGAAACGCACATTCCAGGAACGAGCACATGTTCTGGCACAATGCACCAGGTGTCTGGTGTTGGCATGCAAGCCCAAACCTCGCCCAAAAACTCAATGAATCCATGAAAATATTCACTGGATTGTTCAACAGCAGCGTTCTGAGTCCTGTCCAACTAATCAAAGCAACTAAACCGGCCATTAAAAAGTAAAACATGGCTCCAATTCCTGTTAAACATAAACACAACATAATATCAGGTGACAGGTTGCAGCTTTAACAGTAACAAAAAAGCTTAATTTTTGTTACAAAAGTAAGCTTTTGTAACAGCTCAGCTGGAGACCCAGGATCAGGAGGGACCAAAAACAGTCCTGGCTCTTTTCCACTTGATGAGCAGTCTTAGTGTTAAACTGACTCAGGAACAGGCAAATATACATCAACTGAACATCTGACTTCAACAAATCCAGAAACGGATGGACTCCTGAGATATGATGCCAATAACAAGCACATTCATTCAATTGTGTTGCACAAAAACTTACATATTCAGACAAATATTTATTCTCTGAGGCAGTTATTTAATAATCAAATTGATATTTCAGGTAGCAGTATTCAGGAGGTGCCTCAAAAGAGACTGGAGGCCCGTTTGTTAACTTTAGTAAAAGCCCACTTGTCCTGAATGCGTCCGACCGAATAGCAGCAGCCTCTTGTATAACAAAAAGGATGAGCAGGCAGATATCCCAGCTGGACGACACTATCACTGACCAAAACCAGCTCGATCCATGACAGAGTACACAGACTGGCTCTGAACTCAAATATCGGGTCACCGGGTACAGCTGTGGCTCATAGTATAGGTTGCTGAATAAACACGAGGTTGGACACTGAACCCTAACCTTACTTTCCCCTGACCCAATGGCTGGTCAGAACTTCACATGTTTTACAGTAACGCACAGAAAATAAAAACCCATGCATGCACATAGTGACAGATAACAAAACTGGAGGCAGTTTAGCCACAAAAGTTAGGCTGAAATACTTTGTCCGAATCTGTTCATGTCTCCACTAAAAATCTACGATGCCAATGCGACAGGTAGAGCTCAATCACTGAAGAAGAGTTCGTTGAAAATGATCATGTGGTATGATCTCTTATAATTGTACGCTTGCAACAAAATAGAAAGCTCCAACACATGGCAATGAAGGATTGCCTGGTATATTCGTCTTAAAAGTACTGGCTGAATTTGCCAATGTGTAATGCCGAAAAGTAGTAGGAGTTGGAGGATGAATTCAATCCGATTATTCAAAAATGCAAAAGCACCCTTTTACAGTAACTCGTTCAGTGGTTGTAATATTGCATGTTTAAATCATAAATTGTGCTCTCTATTGACATTAATGAGATCCCAGTTATGTATCTGTTCCTCAGCCATTCTGGCTTGAAACTTAGCCCCATCTGCTGTCTATCCCGGCAGACTGACCCTATCCTGTTGGACAGGAACAGTGTCTGTGGTGGTAGAACCTACTGTAAAGTGTTGTACACTTTTAAAAAACGTTATATAAGTATGTACTGCTTTTATTCAAGGTTGTGAACTTTGAATGTTTTGTTATAATCAATTTTACCATAGCTGTTTGGTTTCATTTTAGCTTACGCACAGTAAACTCGCACTTTGGGTTCCCCTTTTGGGATAAACTGCTACTTTTTGAGTCGCAATTCTTATTTTTATGTTCACTTTTTGTACTTTGTTGTAAATTTCAGAGTAGTAACATGTACTTTCTACAACTTTTTCAGTTACCTGCTGCATAAGCTAAAGATCCCTGTTTTAGTTTTGTTACGTCAGTCTGTTCCTGTCATAATCTGGGTCCCTTTGTCTCACCACCTGATGTCGCCAAAGTCCCTCTTCCTTTTTGGTTGTCTGTCTCCACCACCTGTTCCCTATTATTGTCATAGAGTTAGAGTATTTAAACCCTGTGTTCTGTTGCCCTCCTTGTTGAGTCTTCGTTGGTCACCCAGTAAGTCTTGCGTTCTGGACTTTTTACCTTTTTCTGGAAACTTCTGGAAACTTATTTTCCTCGTTTACACCTGCCTGCGCTTGAGTCACTATCTAGGCCTCCGTGGGTCAGGAGATTGATTCCCGCCTGCCACCTGGGAGACCAGGCATCAATCCCCGAACCTGACAGTTCCAGGCAAGTGTTACATTAGATACTGTAATGGGTAGACTTATATGAACTTCCAGGGAGAGGCCTTCTTTAGAGAGTCTTTTCTTCCACATGTTGTTCCTGGGTCTGTTGTTAATTTGAGTCTACCTGTTGAATCACCACCAACAACCATCAGTCTTCAGTGAGTTTGAATAATGGTGCAGAAGAAAGAGTGAAGATTGGTGACAGGGCTTTCTTTGAATGGGAGTTTTTAGCATTCCTAATTCAGCTTTATTCATGACAAACTAGCCGATTGGGTTAATGTCAGGAAAACCTATGGCTTACTTTGACACGCTGCGATAACGTTTCACATCGAGGTAATCCTTCTCTGACAACAAACTTCTGCTCCTCCTTAATCTTTTTTATCACATGCAAGAAGCGATAAACTCATGAGTCATGTGTCCTACCGGCATAATTGAGACTGTTGTAGTGGAGAGCACAGTAACAACACAGATTTAGTCTGATTCAGCACAAATACAGGGAATACCTCTGTGACTGTGTGGGGGTGGGCTGGGATAACATTGTTGGTTAAAAATACGTGTAGTAACAGTATAAGTTCTGAAAAAAAATGAAAAAAAGTAAGAAAGAAAGATAAATGTCCCTGTGGAAAAGGGCCACTAATCAAATCATTAACATTTTTTTTAATATATTTATTTTCCAGTCTTTATTAACAAAATATGATCATGTATCATATCAGAACTTTGTTTTAAAATCAGAAGCCCAAACAATGAAATAAAGGTAATATGGAGTTTATATAATCTATGGACCTTAACAAAAAGAGCCTTCAGTGAGAAACAGAAAAAAACATAATAAATAAAGACAGCATGATAACACTTTTCCATATACTCAGTATTTGATCAGCTATTGCTAAAGATGTCTAATGTGTAAACTGATTAAGTATGAGAATTTATATATTGTTTTCCATTCAAATGCAACAACTCTCTCAACGTATAATCGTACCATTTCTTACAATTTTCTCCCAGTTCATCATTTCATTTAGAATTGTATTTACTTTGTGATGGAAAGTTAAATTCATACTACAAATATGCACAGGTAAACCTTATCTGTACTAACGTGTTCAACAAGTTTTTCAGTCGACAAGTCGAATTATCCTCTTACAAATGGACTACAAATGACTGCCAAAAAGACAGTGAACTAAAAGAGGAACTCAGGGGTTTTTTCTCACACCAAAAACTGAAGATTCTTTGGTGATTAATGGTCAAACTTTATGGAAAAACATTACGAAAAAATGAAAAAGTCCTCTCATCCATCAAGTCAGTGTGAGATGTGGCTAACAGCCGTGTTCTTTGTCCTCCATACTGGAGCTGGAGCTGTTGTGGCTGCTGGCGTTGGACACGTCGGGGGACATGGAGGACAGCAGGGGGTCGCTGGGAGAAATGGGCCCGAGGGTGTTGTCCATGACCAGCTCCTTCATTTTACAGGACCTGGAGTTCCTGAAGGGGCCGGGGTCCCCGGCGTCCGCGGGCATGTGGTCGAAGGTGATGGTGCCGTTGTTGAGGTCCAGCGTGGTCGGCGGGGACATGTCCGGGGCCGAGCAGTGGGAGTAGAGCTCGGACGGACAGTCGCCCAAGATGGGCTCCTGTTTGATGGCGCGAGCCATCAGCTCCGACGTGCAGACGGACGTGGATGGAACCACGGTGAGACCGTGAGCCCGGGCTTGGATCTCCAACTCCTAGATGCATACAAGGTGTAGATAAAACACTGTTTGATCAAGCTGGAGGACAAAAAATACCCCTGGTTTTGTAGTTCTTACAACTTGTTCTTGACTCACAAAGCATAAACACTGACACTGACCCTCAGGCCGGCATGGCCAGTAATGAAAAGTTTGATCTTTTTCATCTTCTCTGCTATCAATTAATTCATTCATTTATCTCAAATGAGATATTGTCCTCCTCCTCAAGCTCAAAATCTGCCACTGTATTTATGTTTGTGTCAGATTCCCACTATGCTTGACTCATGTGACATCCACTTCTGTAGGAGGACCCTTTAAGGTTTTTTCCTAACACATCCTGCGAAGTATAAAAAAGAAGTCCTGGCCAGGACCAACTTAGCTAACGTTTAGACCATTTGTTCTCTTGTATTAGGCGGAGAACAAAAGCAAGTGAAACTTGTGTCGTAGGTGGACGTCTTTATTGTGCAGCAACACGTGACCGGGTGACATTTTTAGGCAGCAGAAGCTCAGAAAGAAAGAGCAGAGGGACTGGTAATTAACTCCGGAGACACTGAACATTCATTGTAAGTCACTTTTAACAAAATCTTTTAAGACACATGAATGTAAGTGGAAGTTAACATGATCACCTGAGCTGTGTTTTCTTACTTTTAAAGGCAAAAACACCATTCTTAAGCCACAACATCGGTTGGGAGGTCACATTGTTGGAGGTGAGCCGAGTTTATTTTGATTGGTTTCCTTTGAGAGCACCTTACAGTCATCGGTTAACCTCTTTGCCGTGGTCCCGTCACCCACCTGAATACGGAGCATCAGGTGGCGGTTGGCGTGCTCCAGCTTCCTCTGCCTGCATTCGAGCTCCTTGGCCCTTTGCTGCTCCTGCTGCAGTTTCCTGATGTAGTCCACGGACGCTTTCAGAATGGTGCCCTTATTCCAGCGCATGTCTCTGGGGTATGCAGGAGACAAAGGTCTGCAGTCAGAGGCAGCTGACCAGAACAACACAGGATTCTCTACGGCCCATCTGAAGGCATAAGTCATGCACTTTAAGGAGCCACACGAAAAAAGGAGGATGTTAAAAAGAGAAAGAGTTTGCGACTGGTTCACAGTCCGTGAAACAGAGAGCACAACAAATTCATATTTGAGTTAAAATGCAGGACTGGAGTGTAGTGCTTTTTCCTGAAGTCCTCCTCATTTAGAAACTTGTTATGCCTGCTCTTTCCAACAGATTTAGCCTTTCTACTACAGTTCAGTACTGTAAACAAAATGTCTTGATACATAGAAGAAGATACTTAAATCTAACAATAATGAAACAGTTTTTTTCTTAATTTCAATTCATTTAAAAGCTGGGAGAAACTGTCTGATGCAAACCCAACTCCCAAGACTCATAACATTAAAAGATCAATTGGCATACAATCTGTAATTACAGAACATAAAAGTAAAGATTGACTGTACTTTCAAGATCAATTGTTTTTGCTTTTATAGTATTCCTTTTTTTGTATAGGTTTCCTTACTTAAATCCCCTAACTTTATGGATCGCGCTGTAATCTGAGCTTTTCCCCTCTGAAAACTACAGTATATTCAAATACATACACAAATACTTACGGATCATTTGACTTGGGTATCAAAGTTCCCAGCTCTTTAATGCGATCATTGATGTTAAACCTCCGCCTTCGTTCGACTAAGATTCAAAATGTCAGACAACAAAGAAAGAAAAAAAGAAGATCAGGCCAGCTTTTAGTTAGAAATGTAAACATGACAAAAGAATTCTTTTATTTCACATCATCAAGTTAGAAAACATTTTTGAAGTGTTCCCATTTTTTAGTCACATCACAACTTTTTTCAAACTCTGATTTTGACTTACTTAAGTTGTGGTTGTCTTTCTTCTGTCTCTCCTTAGCGAGAGCCCGAACCTCAGCTTCTTGTGAAGGACGGAAGAGGGGGGGCATCAATCAAAGAAGTGAGTGATAAATAAATATGGGTAAATAAATGTCAAACTACGTCAGATACATTGGCTACAGTAACAATAAATGATAATATATCAAATGTAGAGAACAAGTTAAATTAGCTGAGACATTTTTGCAACTGTAATTTTCGTTGTTTTCTATTGTGTGCGATTTAGTCATACACAAAATACTTAAAACACAGTTTCTGAAAATCAGAGGGAAACATCTTCAGTTGGCTTTGCTTACCTACTGGAAAGCCCTCTGGCCTTTGATAGCTTTCATACTGGCCACAGGATCCAGACTTGTCCATTACTTGCTTCATGCCAGGAGCTGGAGTAATTATTTGGCAAAACATTGACTTGATAGTATCTTGTGCACTCTCCAAATTGCACACAATATTGACATTTTCTTGACAGTCTGATACACTTGCAATTTTTCTGCTAGTATTAATTCACAGCAGGTCTGACTGAGTACTGAATCAGTGGCACAGAGGGAGCATTTTCAAGCACGTTTCACTAAAAGATAAAAGAGCAAAAAACATGCCGGAGATGCTCTGGGGATGGAGTCTCAAATGATTTCATAATCTGAATTTACACTGAAGTGCTGGTTGAAGCCTATACAAATAAACCGAGATTGATGTCAGCAAGCAAAAACTCATGAATTGGGTAATTGTCAGCATTTTACCTGTGAATTCCCTTTTAATGTTGGGTGGACAGGAGCTGCCAATGGAGAGGCCTGGAAGTTGGAGCCCTTGATTGCTGTACATATCTAGTAGATTACCAGACACAGGGAGCTGGAGGATCACAAACAAATTCCACTGTAATGTACTCTATGTTCTGAATATGAATCGAACTAAAGGATCTGGATAACATTTCGATAAATTACCGGGTTGTTGATTTGGAGCCCTTGGTCCATTAGTCCAAGAACATCTTCGCTGTAACTCGACTCCAAGCTAATAATATCATCAATGACATCATCCATCTGTGTAATACAAAGAAAGCATTTGACTTATTGCTCAAAGCTCTGTCAGGGCATGTGAAAAAAAAAGAAAAAAAAGAGCCAAAGCTACAAACAGGTGTACCTCCTTCTCACAGTTGGAGCCGAGAGTGAGCAAAGCCATGGGACTGTTGGGCGCGCTGCCAGCGGGCCCGGGCGGCATGCCGTGCTCCGAGGGCTGGCTGGGGCACTGGCTGCCGGCTTTACCACCCAGAGTGGTGGACAGATACTGCCTCACTTGCTGCCTCTGCGCCTGCTGGATGTGGTGCTTGGATGGGTTTTCCAGGTGGGACTGCACCTACATGCATGAGCGAAACAAACAAAAGGTCCAATTCCAAAAAGGAGATTTTTAGAACTACATGGCAATCTACAAAATGCTGTGTCATTCTTCTTTCGTCACCTCAGGGGGATGGCAAAGCCTTTCAATCTATTCTAAATTCCTTTTTGTGCCTGAGGCCTTATTGGAAACTTTTTGTTTTAAACCGATCGGAAACCAACCAAGCTGTTCTTGAAAACCATCTTTTTTAAAAAGTCTCATAAATAATTCTTGAACATAACATTTGTAAATAAAAAAAAATGTTTTTTTTCACTTAAACTACTTTGACAAAAGTAAAAAAAAATAAAAAAATAATTGATTTTGACATATTGAACCCCCAAAAAGTATGCCACCTTTTAAAAGAGAAAAAAATCATGAAGAAAAAGATTAAGGTTATCAAATTTCATATTTGATTCTAGCAGCTGCCGTTTGTTATACATAAAGGCTTATATAAAAAATATATATTTAGAGAGATTTTAGACCGGTGAAGCTCAGTGATGGCAGAAATTCTTATCTTCTCAACTCAAAAATTTCCTTTGGAAACACAATGAATTGGGGAAAAGAAAAGGATCATATTAGCTCAGAAAACACTTAAATTACGTTAAAGGATTTGCGCAAGTGGTTTAAATGCATAAAACTTGGGAGTTCTCAACGTGAGCAGAGAAATAAGTTAGAAACGCAGTCCATTCATTTGTGAATTTACATTGGACAAAAACAACAGAAAAAACATCTCACCTGATAATGGCTGTACTCAAGCATCTCCAGCATGTTGAGTTGTTCTCTCAGAATGAAACGATAAAAAAATGCTCATACAGAATATAATCCCTTTGTTTTGTTGGTCTATACAGTGAACAAGGAGCTAGCTAATGCAACTGTGAGAGCAGTCAAAAGTCCTGCTTAATTTATCCGGGGCATAAGGCTCATTAGTTATGCACGTTAAGAAATGGAGGAGGACATCAAGACTCATCCTCCCATCGCTGTGTTGTTCAAGATTAAACTATGAATTTATGTCTTTATAGAGACCATTTGACGTCACAACCTCTGGATCACAAAGGAGTCTTTCTCTTCATTGGCCGGCAGTCGGCAAACTGAAGTTTGCTTAAGGCCAACTAACATTTAATCTTTAGTTCTGCTCGTCTAGTATAAAAAATCATTTGTTCTGAGCTACAAAAACACAACTGAGACCAGTGTTTCTCTGCAAACTAGCCATACTAAAACCAAAATGTATACTGAGTTTATCAACCCCGTCAAATTAGTCGGACTTTTAACGTTTAATTACGTTTAACCATCAAATGTTTTGCATTACCATTAGGGTAAAGGTGGGAAGGCAAACATTTTGATACAGGAAAATCTTTATTTTTCTTAAGCGTGAGAGAAAATAATTGGCTTTTTAAATGTCAGGACTTTTTGGGGAATGTAATAACTTTACTGTAATAAGTTTCTCAATCAATGTTTTGGGGTATTTTCACTGTGATTCAGTTGATCATGGGTGTCATTGGTGCTCTGTGAGGGGCCCTGAGGGTGGGGTGAGTGACTTGGAAAAAATGTTGTGACCATAGAAGCATAATGGACGAAAGAAGCATGCTGGGATCACTGGCCCTCCGTATCATATGGCATCCTTCAAAAATTAAGTATCAAATGTGCAGTGACAGACGTAAAAAAGAAAATGGATTGAACGTAGTTCAACTGAGCAAAAAATCCTGTGATTTGCTCCCTGGGGTAAAAAGGAAATTTTGGAAACATGACTAGCAAAATTTAGGAATCTGTACAATTTTGAAGCAAATGTCAGATTGTGATAACTACACCTAGTGTGATCAGCAGTAGCAAGTGTTGTACAATGGCCCTTTTTGTGAATAAAGATATTTTGGAGGAACATTTGGAACTGAAGTCACTTTCACCACCAATATCTGGGGACATTTCACTTAATTAAATAACCTCTGTTCAGAGAAGTTAAACATTACAAAAAGTTAAAAAGTTAAAAGTTACAAATAAACTAAAGCTGTAATCACGAAGCTGCATTACAGTCAGTTACTGATGGTCAGTGGATTTCAGGCATATATATTAACTGTTATTTGTTAACTGTCATATGTTATTTGATAGCCAAGTGAATTCCCCTACCCCTGCCATTTCTACCAGCCCTTCTGGGGGGATGTCAAGGCATTCCCATGCCAGCCGAGATATGTAGTCCCTCCAGCGTGTCCTGGGTCTTCCTCTGGGCCTCCTCCCGGTGGGACAGGCCCGGAACACCTCACTAGGGAAGCTACTAGGAGGCACCCTAACAAGCAGTGGTTCTACTCTGAGCCCCTCCCGGATGGCTGAGCTTCTCACCCTATCTTTAAGGGAGAGCCCAGCCACCCAGCGGAGAAAACTCATTTCAGTCGCTTGTATCTGCGATCTCGTTCTTTTCATCACTACCCAAAGTTCGTGACCATAGATGAGGGCAGGAAACGATAAATTGAGAGCTTCGCTTTCAAGCTCAGCTGTCTCTTCATCACGATAGACCGGTACAGAGCCCGCATTACTGCCAACGCTGCACAGATCTGCCTGTCGATCTCCGGCTCCATTTTACCCATATTCACAAACAATTCCCCGAGATACTTGAACTCCTCCACTTGGGTCTTGGGTCTCAGACTTGGAGGCACTGGTCCTCATCCCATTGAACTCCAGTTTGAAGCCCATCGAGAAGATATCTCATTGTATCTCATCCACTCTACCGAGTTTCCTGCGGTCCTTGGCATTCCTTGGCTTACCCGTCATAACCCCCACACTGATTGGGTAACTGGCCATATTCTGGAATGGGGTCCTACCTGCCATGCCACTTGCCTCTTTCCTAATCCTCAAGTATTGACTGTCGAGTCTCTGGATCCCACCGAGTTGTCCCAAGTTCCCAGAGAGGTCTTCTGCCAGAAAAGAGCTACTTTCCTTCCGCATAGAGATTACGATTGTATATCAAAGAGGCTCTGGCGTCAGGATTCATCCAACCATCTGCTGGTGCTGGCTTCTTTTTTGTTGGCAAGATGGACTGTGGGCTGCGACATTGCATAGATTACTGAGGCCTCAACAAGATCACGATCCGCAATCGCTACCCATTAACACTCATGTCCACCGTTTTTGATCTGCTCCAGGGTGCCTCTGTCTTCAAGTTGGATTTGCAAAAAACCTACCACCTAGTTCGACTGCCTTTAACACTACATCTGGGCACTACAAATACCAAGTCATGCCTTTCGCACTAACCAACGCTCCAGCTGTCTTCCAGGCCCTTGTTAACGATGTTCTCAGAGACATGATTAATTGTTTTGTTTTTGTCTATTTAGACGACATTTTGATTTTTTCAAAGTCTTTGCAGGAACATTGCCAACATGTGCGGAGTATCCTGCAGCGGCTACTGAAGAACTACCTTTACGTGAAGGCTTGAAAATTTGAGTTCCATGTCCCTAAGGTCTCTTTTCTGGGCTTTGTCCTAAGACACGGAAAGGTCCAGCGAAACAGGAGCAGTGCAGGATTGGACTACACCACTGTCCGTTAAAGGGGTGCAGCAGTTCCTGGGATTCGCAAACTTTCACCGTAAGTTTATCAATAACTTCGGTTCTGTGGCGGCTCTGATCTCTGCTCTCACTAGGAAAACTGGTACACCGTTCCTCTGGACACCCGAGGCTGAGGAGGCTTTTCATAACCTCAAGCCCCGCTTTTCCACAGCACCTGTCTATCTTGTGTTTGTTTTGGTTGTGAGTTTGTGTCTGTCATGTGGTCTGGCCCCACCCTCTCATTGTGTTTCCCTCCTCTGCCACCTGTTGTCAATTGTGCAATTAGTCTCTGTGTATTTAAGATCTGAGTCTTTGTCTTGCATTCATGTCCCTGGTGAGCTAGTCTGAATTCTTTCTGTGCTTTGTGTTCTGGAACTTTAAGGCTCTATGCTTTTGTATTACTTACATTTTGAAAAACATTTGCTGCTACCAAACAGTTTTTGTTTTATTTTTGGATCCTTTTAACTTTTCTATTTCTGAAATGCCCCGGGACCTCTATTGTGGATCTTCTGATTTTTTTGTGAATCAACTGAGGTTTTGTGAAAAATAAGAGAAAGCCTTTTTAACACGCACCTCAGCACTTGGATCTTTTCCATCTACCTGGACAATAGATCATTGGTCACCACTCCTACCTGCTAAGCCGAAGACCTGGATCAAACCCGTAAGTCCGCCATAACAGCACAAACCTAACTGACCTCCTTTCAAGCATTTATATCTCTTTAGAATGTTTCTGGGGTGTTATAATCCATATGTTAGAATGTTGAATGTTGCTTTCATTCCATTGTCTCTTTTGACTTTTGAATGCATATTTTTTTTATATGGATCACAACAATGCCATGCCAAATTCTTTTCCAGTTCAAATTCTGTAGTTCAACCATTATTCCTCCACAGTACAGGCAGTTATTATTACACTTATCTGAGAGGACATTAAGTGTTTGCACAATATTGCTGAACCATTGATTCTATGCACATTTAATCTTTGCTGATGATGTTGCGAATCTGCTTTTACAAGCGTGGCACGCAAAAAGTCAAGAGTGAATGCCCCGCACTCAGAAATGATTTTATGCTCCTCTCTTGATGATAATGAATAAGTGCTCTATCCTCAGACGGTTGCATTCAGCAAAAGGAATTAAACTGGTGATCAGGATCTTCACGTGTGAAGACGGGCTATCAGTGTGTGTACAGTAAATGCGTAAATGCCTGTTGCCGCATCTCGTGCAATGCTCCAAGAGCACCGAGCAGGACCCCTTTGTCCGGATTATTGGAAACTATCTAATTGCAGAGGTGCATTCAAACACAGGGGAAGTGCCCCCTGGCTGGTCGGAGGTTGATAAAACTGAAAAGAGCAATTCTTTGTAAACTCATAGTAGGGCATTTCTTTGTCTGCCTTTCGCAGGCTGGCCTTTTCCTTCAGCCAAACCTTTGGGCTGAAAGGGAGCTATTAAGAAGGGATGTATTGCATCAATCCCTACAGCGAGCCCAGTACTCATTTTATTCATAGACTCTTTGTGAGACAGGGGTTTATTACCTTCTCAAGAGAAGCACATGGGTCTGTGTTTTAGACTCATGCCTTTAGGACCAATAACATTTCAAGAGATAGTCGTCACTCTTTGACCCCTGAAAAGAAACAAATCCATTCATGTCTCTCAACCAGCTCAACTCTGCTCCAAAGTGTTTCCCACTTCCTTGGAAACCAGCCACTCTTCAGGGCATTTTGTCAGAGGAGGTTAACATTCAACATGAGTCCAAACATGAAAAGGTTACAGTTTTTGACTACACCGTTTCATAATCGCATCATAGGAAACATACAAATTCTTATAAAACATGTGGATTATGACAACATGCCCATAGCATGACATCAATACTAGCAGGGTGCAAAGGGAGAGGGTAGAAAATGGAAACACACAAGCCTTCTTAATCCCATCTTCCAAAACTATCCACAGCCCTATGAAAGAGGAACTAAATCTTTTGGTAGAGAAGACGTATCAGGTGGTGGCTTAAGGCAGAAATAGGGTCCGAGTGTAGTTTTAAAAAAAAAACTCTATACAAAGTATTTTGATTTACTTGGCAGCAAAAAACACTATCAGAACGCATATTGTGATGGACCGTGCTGGACTATAAATGCCTGGTTCCATGTTAAGCCAAAAAAAGCAAAAGGTTTGTTTGACCATCGTGTAAGTCATGAGCTTAAGTGTTTTCATTCATCTATATGTACAGGATGCATTGTGTAAATCTGAAGTGAAA